ATTTAATAAGTATAGTTGTTTTAAAACATTTAAGTTCGGTTTCATTTTCTGATAATTCTAAAAAGGAATATTCTCTAAAAGAAAGATTCTCTAACTACGGATCCCTACTTGTCTAAAATTTACATATATCTATACATGTTCAGTTGACTGGGTATGTTTAAATATGCTTCATTTCCAAATCAATGGTTGAGAGATGAAAATCTTTCTCTTTGTTTCAATAAGTTGGGAAAACGTTATAACGGTTATATTATCAATGAGTACGTATGCGTATTGAAATATACCTTACTAGTTAATATTATTTGAATGTAAAGAAAATTGTATTATATAAACCGTTGTAATTACAACTTTTTCACGGGTGAATGCCTTGCTCCGGTATACAGGGTCGCTTTTATGTATAGAAACTGTCGATAATTAAGTAAAATATAGGAGGTACCGCAAAAAGTTAAATACAAAAGTTATAGGAATTTTAAATATCTATTAGCGCGTAATAAATTTAAGTATACAGGGTCATTTATAAAGCCGTGTCACATCAAAGTTTCATTTTTTTAAATAGGTCCCCCTGTATATTATTACATATTTGAATTATTCCTTCAATTCTAAGCAAAAATCGAAATACACACAATGTACAGGGTAGGTCAAATTCGACGTTTTTTAATGGAAACACCCTTTTCTATAGGAGATAGACGTAAACTAATATCGGTGTCTGGAGCTCAATTTTCATCAAAAACATGATGGTGAAAACCGCACATCAATATCTGTTACCGTTTCGGGGTTACGGGGTGTTTTTCAAAAATGTGCATTTTTAACAAATCGCTGTAACTTTTTTGCTATCGAAAATTTTGTATTTCTATAAAAACATTTCCAAAGCACCTTTTTACGTAGAATTTAATGTTTTAAGTATAATTTTTTTAAAATTAATAATTTAAGAGTTATCAACAGAAAAATTGATTTTTTATTTGAGACACCCTCTATATTTTTAATTAACTGAAAAGAATTTAAAATTACCTTTCCAAAAATATAGCACACTTGATATTTTGTTATAATCCCCTTAGAAATACAGAATTTTTAAAACTTCGCCACTTTTAACTAGTAGGCTTTGGACCCTTTATTGATGATATGTCCTTAATGGAACTCGAAAACATATTTTTCCAGCAAGACGACGCACCGCCTCTGACCGCCAAAGTTATCAGCAAATTTTTGCATCCAATTTCAAGAATAATTGAATAGCCAACCAAGATTACAGCCGTTGGCCGTTGAGGCCGCCTGACTTAGTGCCCATGGATCTAATCCTATCGATAAATTTGCGGAAAAATAAAGATTCCTTATTCTTCCGTATAATCTAGACAAGAATTAGAAATGATACTCTCATACTTAGCAGTTATGAGTGGGTATCTTTCACCCCCACTGAGTTAATGAATTCCGCCAGAAATGTTCAAAACTGCCCCGTCTGTCCATAACAGAAGACGGTCGATATGTCGAACACCTATAGCAAAATCTCATGTCTTGGTTTGCTATTTATTTTTCTTGTTATTAGATATAGTTTAAATGTGTTGATGTATGTGTTGATGTTGATTAAATATATTTTAAATAGTTATAAAATTCTGCATCTCTCATAGCAAATATTATTTTCGTTTTAATTGATGCTGCTCACAGCTAGATTTTTTTGCATTACAGCCGGTGCCGTTCAAAGCCTACTTATTTAAAGCGGGCGAATTTTTATATAGTCTATATCTCGAAGAGGAATCGAGCAAAATATCAAGTGTGTTATATTTTTGGAAAGGTAATTTTAAATTCTTTTCAACAAATTAAAAATATATAGGGTGTCCCATATAAAAAATCAAATTTTCTGTTGATAATTCTTAAATTATTAATTTAAAAAAAATATACTTAAACCATTAAATTCTACGTAAAAAGGTGCTTTGGAAATGTTTTCATAAAAATACAAAATTTTCCATAACAAAATAGTTACAGCGATTTGTTAAAAGTGTATATTTTTGAAAAGCACCCCGTAACTCCGAAACGGTAACAGATATTGATATGCGGTTTTCGCCATCATGTTTTTGACAAAAATTGAGCTCCAGACACCGATATTAGTTTTCGTCTATCTCCTATAGAAAAGGGTGTTTTCATTTAAAAGCGTCGAATTTGACCCACTCTCTACTTCAAACAAACCGTTTTCGAGTTATTGACTTTTGAAAATATCACTTAAACAATTTGATTTAATTAATTTCGATGTGTTTCGTTCATCATCATCACAGCAGCCTTCTTTCACGTCCATAGTTGAACATAGGCCTCCTCCAAACGTCTCCAGTTCTCGCGGTTTTTAGCTGTTGCAATCCAGTTAGTTGTTATTCGTTTCAGGTCGTCGGTCCATCGGGTGGGAGGTCTGCCTTGGCTACGCTTGTCGGCTCTTGGTCTCCACTCTATAAGTCTTTTGGTCCATCTGCCGTCTCCATTCTAGCAATGTGTCCAGCCCATCTCCACTTTTGTTTTGTGATTCGCTGGATAATGTCATCCACTCCCGTACGTCGGCGTATCTCTTCATTTCTTACTCGATCTCTCAAAGTCAGCCCAATCATAGATCTCTCCATCCGCCTCTGTGTCACTCTCAATTTTTCTGCGGTTCCTTTTGTTAGAGTGAGTGTCTCTGCGCCATAGGTCAAAACCGGGAGGATACATTGGTTAAATGCCTTTCTTTTCAGGTGTATTGGGATATTTGCTCTAAAGATGTCCCTCATTTTTCCGTAAGCCGCCCATACCAAGGTAATTCGTCTAGCCAGTTCACAGGTTTGGTTATCTCTGCTTATTTTGATCTCATGGCCCAAGTATACATATTTGTGGACTAATTCTATTCTGTTATTGTGAATTTGTATGTGTTCGCTGGGCACCACATTAGTCATTATCTTAGTCTTGTCAAAATTTATTGTTAGTCCAATCTCGTGTAATGCATCGTTAAGTTCTTGAAGCATGTCTTTGATCTCTCCCAGACTATCTGACACTATAACAATATCATTCGCAAAGCGTAGGTGGTTGAGTCTCTCTCCATCGATAACTATTCCTTTTTGTTGCCAAGCCAGCATTTTGAATGCATGCTCAAGAACAGTAATAAACAATTTTGGCGACATGGTATCGCCCTGCCTAACTCCCCTTTTTATTTTTATCTGGTTAGTTGTGGTATGTAGATTTACAGTTGTTGTAGCATTGTCTTGCATGTTTTTTATTATGTTACAATAACGATTCTACATTCTTGTAGCGCTGTTAGGATGGCCGGTAATTCTACCGTATCGAACGCTTTTTTAAAATCGACAAATATCAGTGCTAGGAGACGATTGTATTCGATGATTTTTTCTATTAAGGTTTTTAAACACTGCAGATGATCGTTGGCACCAAATTCGGAACGGAAACCAGCTTGCTCTTTAGGTTGGTAGAAGTCCAATTTTGCCTCTAGTCTATTTGTTATAATTCGGGTATATAGTTTATAAAGATGGTTAAGAAAGCTAATTGGTCTGTAATTTTCCACGTCTGCTATGTCTCCTTTTTTATATCAGAGTATAATTATTGAGTTATTCCACTTTGTAGGGATATTTTGATTTTCCAGACAGAGATTGAGCAGCCGTTGAATATTGGTCATTAATACTGTTCCTCCCATCTTTATCGCTTCTCTGACGACACCATAATCCCTCGGAGCTTTATTGTTCTTCATCTTTTTTAGAGCATTGTAAATTTCACTTACAGAGATTTCCGGAACATCCTCAGAACCCTCATTTTGAAGCTTTCCTTGTAGGTACTTCCTCGAGTACCAGTAAATGCCTCTTAGCTACTAGTAAATTTAAGTATACAGGGTCGATCATAAAGTTGTGACATGGAACATGCAGTAATATACACGGGGTACTATTTAAAAAAAAATGAAACTTTAATAAGCCACAACTTTATGACCGATCCTGTATACTTAAATTTATAACTCGCTAATAGCTATTTAAAAATCCTCTAATCTTTGTATGTGACTTTTTGCAGTACCTCCTATATTTCACCTAATAATCGACCGTCCATACATAACAACGACCTTGTATACAGAAATTTTAGGCTTGTTTTCACAATTTATCACCATTATGATAAAAAAATTACCATGTTGTTAACATGGTTTATAAAACATTTATAGTGTCAAATGACAACATTTTGTATAACAACAACATATGTATTTTCATAAGTTCCCATAAAAAACAAAAATACTTGGAAGAATCTTAAATAAACCGGAAATAAAAATTTAAGTTCAACTTTGGTGAACGACCTATTAAGCAACTTGGTTCAATCGTGCAAAAACCCTATTAAATTTGTTAAAGATAAAGGTAATTCTTCGAACAAACGTAGTAAAAGGCGTAACAGTTTCAAACAAAAAGCCAAAGCTCAGGTTATAGTCTTTAAGCTGTTTGGAAAGTAATAAAATTTGCAGAGCTAAACCTACACGGCAGCATGTCGAGCCTTTTAACGAAAACAGATCAGACCGTTCTGTTATTTTTGGACTGAGAATTCAACTTTTTACTTTATAAAAATAAAGTTAATAGTGATTTTTATATTTGTGTACAATAAAATATTAACTATTAATCCAAAGTAATAATAATAAATAATATTTTTGCTAAAATTTTGAGAACCACTAGATCTTTTCCGGATTTTCTATCTTGTAAATTTAATCTACTACCTAGTGTTGCCATATTATCAACAAATTACGTATTTTAAGTAAAAACTAAAAAAAATTTCGCGAAAAAAAAACTCAGAATCGTGTTACTGGGGTCGAAATACTACCCCTGTAAATATTTGCACTTATTTAAGGTTCGCCCTGTATAAATTTTAACTGATTTAATCATAAATTAAAATTAATTTATTATTTCTCAACTTAGTTTAAGACTGATGCAATACGATTGCTAAATAAAAGCTAAAAGTTTGCTTTACTTAATGGACTTTACTTAATGGAAATAATGATTGATGATATTTCTTTCTTTCAGGGTATTTAGGAACCTCCAGAGTGGTGCTAAATCATTTCGATGTATCAACACAGGTAAGTTGTTCAAATACTTCTATTTCTGTTTGTATATTTTTTCTTTTTTAATTTAAAGAATGGCCAAACATAAGTCAATTGGATATGCGATATTGTATTTAAAAGGTGTTAAAAATACATCTACCTTTGGTAGAATTTGGTAGAATCACACCGAAGTTAGATACATTATTTTTTGACACCCTGTATAATCCGTAATGTAGAAGGCAAAAACATTTTTATGCATAATTTATAAAAAAAATATTTCTTCCAATTTTAAAAATGTAAATGTAAACATGTACTAAATATTAAACCACAAAAATATGTAAAACTTTAATTAATTTAATCCAATTAACATTTTAATCTAATTTTGCGTTCTTCTAAAAATTTAATATTCATTAAATAAAATTTTTAATAAAGTAAAGTGCAATAATTAAATAAAGTAACAATCAAACCAAACAACCAACAAAACAATATATAAATTTTCAAATTGAAAAACATTTTTACCTCGTTTACTTTAAAGTATTTAACGTACGAGTTTATTTCTCCCAAAAGTCTATATATAGAAACCAATTTAGCAGAAACCGCTCTCTGGACTTTGCAGTAACCGTTATTCTCTGGAAATATATAAAAATTCCTCGAAGAAAAGCAGCAAGACCAAGCGGGTGTGGGAAGTGCGGTGGACTAAAACCTTGTGTCTAGGTTGATGCACTTCTTATCTCAACATCTCGAACGAACATAAAATAATGCTTTTTATTTTCGAGGAAACTTTAGATCACGCTATTGATGGAGACTGCATATTCCACAGAGAGGCTTTTATATATTATGATGTGAATATTTGGCTAGAAAATATTAAATTTCTTTGGGAACGTATGTATTTTTATTTTTGTAGCGAGATTAATTTTAATCTAAGTAATAAAAATAATTATTATCAGGGCCTAAAATTATTATCTGGCCAATCAAACCCAAAATTACTGTGTTATAAATATTCAATTCTTCAAAGTTGTTTAAACATTTAACCCCTTACCACTGATCCCACCTTTTATACACGGTGTCCCACATAAAAATGTAGAGGAATCTCTTAAACCAGAAAAGATATGAAGATTGTTGATTTAGAGAAAAGTTGCTGTGCGACTCATGTGTTCTACAATGTCATGTTTCTAAATCGAAAAAAATCTGATTAGTCTGTCCAACGACAAGATCCTTGACAGTGATAGATGTGTCTGTCATTTTAATTTCAAAGTAGTTTATTTTATTTTACAAAAAAATGAGTTGGTACGCCTAAAAAAATACGCCTGCGGCGTATGTTGATTGATATTACCGAGGGCTGAAAAAAAATATAAAATTTAAAACAGCTTTAAAAAAATAAAACAAGTTTTACCTTTGTCGGGGATCGATCTGAGGACCCCTCGCACACGAAGAGCCCATCACCCATATAAATTAAAAAAAAATATTATTACCTAATAATATTATTTAAATATTATAATAGGGTATAAATCAGAAAAATATGTTTTATCCGAGGTTTTATCCCAAATATCGTCAGAAGTAATCGATTTTTTTAGATTTCGAAGCACAACTTTGCAGACTTCACAAACGCGCAACTTTTCCTTAATTTAATCATATTTGTATCTCTTTTGGTTTACGAGATATATGCGACATCGTTTATAGAGACGAACGCCAGACACACATATCAATCTAGCGCCGACGTTTCGTTTTGCAGGCCGACATCCAGCATCAGGCGCTCAATTACGGGTCGGAGGACGAGATAATGGGGCGGCTGTACGGGCAGGGGCGGCGCAGGGAGAGCGGCCCCGCGGGCGGCAGCACGCTGTACAGCAAACAGGACATCAGGGAACAATACTGCATCTCGGAGAGGGGCTTGGGCGCCTTGGAGAACAGCAAGCAGAGTATTTTCGGGTAAGTCTGTTTTGAGATTTTATTAAATGTTACAGATCGTTTATACGATGTTGTTAACAGGTCGACATAATACACTCATATGCAAAAAAACCCAACGGAGAAAAATATTTGGTGAAATTTAAAACGTTATATTTTTGTTGTTTTTATTTTGGACATTTGGACATACTCCTTCAAATCATAATGCCTTTAGGAAATTTCATTGTCCTTTTGAGGCAATCTTTATCAAATAGACACTCTAACGGTGTTAATTATATCGATATTAAGGTGGCTCATGTGCACATGTAATCCGTGCACTTGCCATTTGCGATTGGAACTATTAGCGTCGGATCATAGAGAAACAAATAAAAAGAGACTGGCAAATTAAATGGCAAAGAGAGGGACAACGTTCCCGTAGCGCAACTCAGAACGCAAAATTTCGTTCTATTTATGTTGATCTGCGCATTGCGTCTATTGGGCCCACTATCTTATTCTAATATAAACAAGAGAGAAAGAAGCAGCCATATACAACGTAATTTCTAAATAGAAATTAGAACAATCACCTTTCGTTTTCGTCATCATGACAACCAAGATGACAACATCATGACAATTCGTCATGCATAGATAAAAGAAAATAATCTTCTTGTTCGTCATGTTTGTTAATTTTTCTTTTCGTGATTTACCTTTTTTTCTAAACTCTCCATTTTATTGACTTATGAATATGGATAGGGAACAAATTCCTATGTTAAAGACACCCGGTAAAATAAAAGTAAGTAGTTAAATTTATCATCTTATTAAGAAAAAAGTAGAAGTAGTAGTGTCAAAAATATTTCGAACCTCTCATAACATAACAAATTAATAAAATTAATTTTTTTCATTTTTTGGGTAGGTAGTTTATAGCTGGTTTATAGTAACCATAAACTTTATTAATATACCTATTTTATTTTTGTTTTAGGATTAAAACTGGACTTGAAAATGGTTCAGGATCATGATTCTCGTAAAGTCTTATTTGCTTGGATATTCACTTTGTTATTGCAAATAGGCAGTTTTTTCGAAATTGAGATTTTTAATGCCCTTTAAAAAAATTGGCCGATCGTTTCCTGCAGTGGTCAGTTCTTCTGCATTTAAAATTGGTAGGTGGGTGGAATAAACACTGTTATTTTTTGTTATTATATTATAAAAAGTTTATTTATTTTTTGTATAAATAAATATGTTTATAAAACAGTACATTTTTTGCTTTTTTTATAATATCCCTTATAATAGTAGTATTCTTTCGTTCTGAAAGAAACTGCAAATTTTCACTTAAACTGATTTATTCCCTACACCACGTTCCCTTTACGTGGTATAGGAAATAAATCAGTTTAAGTGAAAATTTTCAGTTTCAGAATGAAAGAATACTACTAATAAAGGCTAATTTAAGTTTTCCGCCAGCCAGAATGTGCGATAATGTCTTACGATACGTTTTATACCTATCTCTTTCTTTTTCATATAAAGCACAAATAATAAAGAAAGATAGCAATAACGACGTACGTCCTGCCATGGTCCTGCTAATTGGTTTCAAAGTTGTTATTCTGAGTTGCGCTACGGGAACGCGGTCCCACTCTTTACCATAGGATTTGTCAGTCTCTTTTTATTTGTTTGTCTATGCGTCGGATTGAGAAATAATTAAATATTTTACCTTAGTGTCATTTTTGTAGTTTGTGACACCAGAAGTTCCAATCCGACGCTGATAATTCTAATCGCAAATTGCAAGTTCAAGGATTACATCTGCACGCATGCATGATCTTTATGAAAGATGGGCAGTCGTATTTCCTAAAGACATTATGTTTTTAGGGTTTATGTCCGCAGTGGGTCTAGGAAGGTATGAGGTGGTAGAAAGGCACAACTAATGCGTCAAAATATCAAGAAATTTTGAAAAACAGTTTTGTGCCAAGTGTATTTCTTAAATGTAAATAATTCAGTTAATGAAAATAAAGGTTTTTAATAATTTTTTGTTTGTCCGAACATTTAGTTTTTAGGGCTCGTATATGCAGCCTCAATGACAGTATGAACGGACGTATACAGGCAGTTATAGCAGCCAAGGGAGGCAATACAAAGTATTAGGGTATTTTTTACATTTTTTTTCTGTTTAGATACTTGAGTATTACAGATGTTTTCTTTAGTATCGTTAGTTCTGTTACCGTTATTATTGTTTATTAAAACCAGGACTGTATCATTAGCTTTTCACGTTTTCTTTAAATTTACTACAGAACATCCAATGCAGGGTAATATGGCGTTATGACAATAATCACCAAAACCATTTTGTCATATTAAAAAATTACATCAAAAAGGAATGATAATTGAAAAAATTGCAAATTGATCGTTATCAGTTCATTTCGCTCTTAAAAATTAACCAAATCATGTAATGACATTAATCAAAAAACAAAATGATCAGGAGTCATGGTTCTGACAGTAAAATTATATTTTAGGACAATTTACACACGAATTTACTGCACAGGATGTTTTATAGTCAGGGTAAAAAACAACCCTTTTATTAACCCTGTATACTATGTCAAATGCTAAAGTTTATAAAAAAGTTAGTTTAGGAATTAAAGTTGATATAATTATTATACGACTTGCAAAAAAAAAATTATAAAAATAGGGCTAAAAATAACAAAAATATAACACTTTAAATTTGACAAAAATTCCTTTGTTGCGTTTTTTTGCATCTGAGTATATTATCTATATACATCATATTCTATATTCTATATATCAGTACTTTTACTTAACTTAACTCCATACGTGATACTAAAAAACTGAATTGGCTATAGTAAAAAGCGAGACCAGCTACAATAAGCATTGTATGTACAGGGTGAGTCAACGATAGAGTAAAGTCCATTATCTCATTTGTTTCGAGGTTTACAAAAAAATATTAAATATAAAAGTTATAGAGATGGTTAAGATACATATTTTAAAATTATTATACAGTATACAGGGTGCTTCAAAAAAGTGTGGCGAATATAACATATGTTTTTTTTAAATGCAACACCCTATTTTTTATTTTATTTTTAGATTCTACGTAAAATTCCATTACTTTTTTATATATAATGTTATATACCTAAAATTAATAGTTTTTGTTATATTTAAATTTGTTTAAACAAATGTTAGATTGCAGTGGGTTAAAAAATTGTCAATGATGGCATTGATTCTGAAGTTGGACAACTAAAATTTGGTAGGAGAATTTTATAGAGATATAGAAAAAGACCTATGTAAAGATATTTAGTTAGATGTTACAGGGTGTTCAAAATATATTTAGGAATTTCAACTAATTAAAATTAAGGCATTTCAATTTTTTAAATGATACACCCTATATATTATCATTTTTTCTGATAGATTTTACCAAATTCTTCAACTTTTGTTAAGAATGTCATATACCTATTTTTATTAGTTTGCGATTAATTCCTATTTTTTCTATTTTTACCCATATTATTAATACAATTGCGCTATAACATCATAGTTGCCATGACAAAAAGTAATAATTATGACAATTTCATGTCTGTTAAGCAAGTTAAGAACAAAATTTGAATTTTAGTTTAATTTGTTGTAATAAGTATAAATGGTAGAGATAACAGATTTTCTTGAAATGAATTAGTCAATGTGAATGATATACACGGACAAGCTTAGAAAACCACATTTTTTGGTTCAGTACTATTTATTATATAGTACTTTGCTAACTACTATAAGGATAGATGTATATTATCTAGAAAACTTACTAACTATATTATCTGCATCGTGTAATGGGACGGTTTCGTGGCAGTAGTAATATTGGCTTTACCAAATGAATTATAAATCAGAATTACTAAGAGAAAAAAACTATACTGTATGTCGAAGAAAATTCATATATCAGTAGTCTTTAGCAATTAGGTAATCTAATATTACCCTAATCTGTGGCTATTCGCCCCGACAAAAAATCCCAAGTGTCATCTTTCATAATATAGAAATACACCAAGAAATTCACTACTGCGATTTAGTTTATTTGAGTTAAGTTAATTAATTTTAACTAATACCAGCAATTGTAACTAATTATGAAGCTACTTGTTAAAGGTGAGTAATAAATAGTTTTGTTTTGTCATGGCAACTATGATTTTATAGGGTAATTGTATTAAAAATATGGGTAAAAATAGAAAAAATGGGAATAAATTGCAAACTATTAAAAATAGGGATATGACATACTTAATAAAAGTTGAAGAGTTTTGTCAATCTATCAGAAAAAATAATAATATATAGGGTGTCCCATTTAAAAAATTTGAGATTTTTAATTTTAAGTAGTTGAAATTCATAAATATATTTTGAACACCCTGTATCATTTAACTAAAATATCTTTACATATATCTTTTTTTTCATCTCTATATAACTCTCCTACCAAATTTTGGTACTCCAACTTCAGAAACAATGGCACCACTGACAATTTTTTACCACACTGCAATTTAACATTTGTTTAAATAAATTGAAATATTACAAAAACTAATAATTTTAGGTATATAATATTATATATAAAAAAATTATGGAATTTTACGCAGAATCTAAAAATAAAATAAAAAATGGGGTATTGCATTTAAAAAAACATATGTTTTAGCCGCCACACATTTTTGAAGCACCTTGTATACTCTATAATAATTTTAAAATGTGTATCTTAACCATCCCTATAACTTTCATATTAAACATTTTTTTGTGAACCTTGAAACAAATGAGATAATGGACTTTACTTTATCGTTGACTCACCCTGTATATAGTCAAAACACGATGTAAACTTCCTAAAATAGAATACAGTAGTACAATGTAATAAATATGAATTATTCCAAAAGATTTACCTTAACCTATAATATTACACGAACTCCCCTAAGTTAGAAGGAAGCTTAAAACAATATTTATTCAGAACTACATCTGGTAGATTGTTCTCGACAATCGAACAGAGCACGGTATAGGCGAGACTTTAAGTAAGTAAAGATGAGTAAATATTTTTATAAAACCCATATTCTCCCTTT